ATGGTAAATTGGAATTCATTAAAACTTCTGCTCTTTGAAAGAAATTCTTAGGAGAATGAAAGGACTAGGAGAAAATACTTACAAATCACATATCTGACAAAGAAGTTATACCCAGAATATATAAAAAATTCTAAAAGTTCAATAACAAGAAAACAAAGAACTTCAATTTTAAAATTGGACAAAAGATTTGGACACTTCACTAAAGTAGATCTATGGGCGGCAATTAGGCAAATGAAGAGGGGCTCAGCATCATTAGTCATTAGGGAAATACAAACGAAAATCACTACAACCTATCAGAATGGCTATAACTAAATAAACTGAGCACACCAAGTGTTGACCATACCAAGCACGTGGAGCTACTGAAACTGTCATACTTTGCTATGGAAGTGTAAAACGATCAGCCAGTTTGGTAGTTTGGCTCAACATACTTAAAATGTTAAATATATATACCTACCATATGACTCAGCTTTTCAACTCTTACATATTTACCCAAGAGAAATGAACTTGAACCTGCCCAAATGTCCATCAACACATGAACGGGTAAACAAATAATGGTTTGTGCATACAACAGAATACTACTTAGTGATGAAAAGGAATATAGTATTGATACAACAACGCTAATGAACCTCAAAACAATTACGTTGTTTCAAAGAAGCCATTCAAAAAGGTGTATGATTCCATTTACGTAAAATTCTAGAAAATGCAAACTCATCTATGGTGACAGCAGATCAGTGATTGCCCAGGAATTGGTTGGGGGCATCGAGGAGTGGAAGGTAGGGATTATGAAGGAGCACGAAGAAACTTGTTGGAGTATGATCTGTTCATTATCTTGATTGTGGTGATGTTTTCACAGGTATACACACACACACACACACACACACACACGCCAAAACTTACGTAATTGCACACTTTAAATATGTTCAACTCATATGTCACTATACCCCATTAAAACTGTTTCTCTGTTGCCTCAACACAATGCCTACCTCCCACCTTCCTCGTGAGAATCAGATGAGTAGAAACCCTTAGAACACCTCCTGGCCTGTTAGTGGTAAGTTCTCGAAAAGCATTGGCTCTTGGTGCTGTTGTTACAAACACGATGACTCAGAAGAGAGTCTTAAGAAAGGAATTTTTTTCTTACTAAGTAGGCAATGTTACTTTCTACGTGGAGAGTTAAACAGTATAGAAATCAACTGCCTTGCAATTAAAATCAAAATTTCTTTCTTAGTTTTCCTGAAATTCACTTACTTTCTAAGAAAAATCTATTTTTATCTTAAAAAATGCAAACGGTCAAAAAAATCCTATTGATGGTTAAACCAATTCTAATTTCAGGTGTTAAATAATGATGCTTTCATGATAATTTTCCTAAGTTACCTGTAATTCCCATCTTGCCATGGTTTAAATCCTTTGGAGAACCCTGGGAGTATTTCTCCAGAAATACAGTTTTGTGGGAGAGATCAAGAACCAAGAGCCTTTCTTGGTGCAGAAGATATTACTGTTCAACATTAATAACTGAGGATTTACATTTCCTAAGACAAACTTGCGTCTAGCCTTACCCCGATTCCTGCAATCCCAAAACTTCCGCAGCCTAAAATGACTTCGTAAAAGGACCTTGGGGGGATAAATGGCGTTCTCTGATTGGTTGAAGGGCTCGCCCAATACGACTGCTGCACCCTCGGGATTGGCTGAGGCAGCTCTCCGTGCCTTTCGCTGCTCTCTCAGGATTGGCTGAGGCAGCTCTCCACGCCCTATGACGTTCCCTTGGGATTGGCTGAAACAATGACGTTCTTCCGGCCTTCTCCTGGGCCGCCATCTTGTCTCCTTCGTCCTGGCCCTCGCTAGTCGGCCCGAGTGGAGCCTCGAGCATGGCGGGCGTCAGGAACCTGAGGGGAATTCTCTGTGCAGCTCCCCTCCTGTCCCTGCTTTTGTGCCTGGGGCCTGGGCGGTGTCCTTTCCTTTGCTCTACTCAGGAAGCGCAGACATGGGGCACCCCTCAGGCCTCCCCTACGCGGCACCTCTGCCTCTGACCCTTGACCTTGCCCAGCGTGGGACTCGGACCTGGGGTGACGGAGGCTCCTGACCTTTGCAGGGTCTGAATCCAGCCTGGACGCCTAAATTTACCCGTGTAAATCCAGGGGCACGCCTTTCCTTGCAAAACGAGGCTGAATGTTTGCCCTTTGACTAACCAAGTGTCCTGGGGCACGGGTCCCTCTCTTCTGGCTCTGAGTTTCTGCCCTTTCTAGTCTCTCCAAAGACCCCTGAGAAGAAGGGTCAGTGTCCCTCCCAGATGCAGAGCCTTTGGGCTGAGATCCGGCTTAGTCAGTAAACGTGGAGGAAGAGCATCCTCAGGGTGCCGTGGTCGCCGAGGAGGAGGGGAGGCGCGGGCTCTGAGAGCGGTCCACGTGGCTTTCCTCCCGGAACGAGTGAGCTTTTCTCTCCTCCTTCAAGGGGAAGGAAGCAGAGTGATGCAAATACAACTGTCCTGAACCGTTTCCGTTTCCGGTGTCCTGTTTTAGTTGTAGGCGGAGGGAGGGAGGCATCACGAGACATGGGATCCTGTTTCCCTGCCTGACCCTCCATCCTTCCTCACGGTCAGAAAGAGAACGTGGCCTCTTGGGGGGCGCTCCCCTGTTTTGCTGGCAGCCGCTTTCGTCAGTGGAGCTCATCTGGCCACATGCTTAAGAGCTGACTCTGAGGGAAATGGTCACAGCTCAAATCCTAACTCCGACGTTTACTGGTGTCATGATCTCTCCCGGGGACTTAACCGCCAAAAGCCTGTGTTTTTCCACAAACGGGGCTGCATATCTACATGATGGAGATGTCGTGAGTTACACGTGGGGAGAGCTTGGTACAGTGTGGTGACACATGACTGACCCCACATTCTGTGTAGCGCCACACAGCAGGCCCCTTTTGGGGGCAGGACTGCTATACGGTGCTGCCTTGAGCCTTAAAATTCCACAGATAAGGAGTGAATATGTTTTCCCTGCGAAAAAAGTAAATGTTGGCAGAGAAATCGAAAGTCTTATTTGGACAGTAGAGGCCCTCCATTCAGAGGACATGACTGTTGTGAAATTGTGCGGCCATCCTGACCTTTCCTACAAATTTATATACAAATGTCTTAGCTATAGAGGAAGCATAGGAGAGTGCTGTCACACTACTACGGGTCTTTGAATCCCGCAGATTCAAAGAAATGCTAATAACATATTAATACTCTCATGGTAAGCCCCAAATTTGAAATAACACAATTCTTAGGAATTGTCAGGAATTGTACCATGTTGAAGTTCACGTGCTTTGCCGTTGGTGCAGGGCGGTGTCCCTCGAATTGACGTTCGGATGTTAATTCCATTCTTCTGTAGACTCTTAGGAATGAAGCCTGTCCAGAATGTCCGCGCTGTTTTGTATCCTTATGTCTGTGGGTTTTTCTTAGTTCATTTTTAAAAACACGTCTCTTTATATTCTTTCGGGTACATGTGCAATTTTTTTAAAAAAGGGACCCTCTTTTATATATTGGAGTATAAACGGCAATTTTTGCTTCCAAAATAGATCGTGAACATTCTCCCATGTGAGTTAGTATACCAAACGTTATCATTTTGAATGGCTACCACCGTCCACAATTTATTTTATATATTCACTTGGTTAGACATTTAAATTGTTTAAATTTATATCGCCCCCCCCCCTTTTTTTTTCTGTTACAACTAAAATGTGAACAAGACTCGTGTACATGCATCTTTGGATGATTATTTCATTAATACCCACTACTGGAAGTGGAAGTACTAGACTAAAGGACATTTTTAATGTCGATACAGAGTCGTTTCCAGAAAGTTTGGATGAATTACCCTTACACTAGACATGAGGGAAATGAATATTTTTCTAAATCTGTGCCTACCCTGGATATCACTACTATTTTATTCTTTTCAAATTTTACTTCGTAAAAATATCTTAAACATCGCATGTCTTGTATTTGTCATGAGCGACTTTCTCATAAATTTATTGTTCATTTACATCTTGTCCTTTGTTAATTCCCTTTTCATATCTTAAAGGAGTGATGATCATAATGCTGATCTTTCAATGATTTATGAGAACTGTTAATAAATTAAGATTATGGAGCCTTTGTTTCTCACGTACACTGTAAAGATCTTTTACTAGTTTGTCTTTAAACTTTGTTCAAATTTTTGATCTGAAACTGAAATCTGTAACTTTCTAAAATAAAACCAGTTTTTAGCTTAACGGTTTCTCAATTTGTTGTCATATGTTTTCCCACCCATGGACTTTATATTTTAAAATTCACTTATGCTTTAAGAATTTGCTTTTGAATTTTAAAATCTTGAATCCAGGTAAAACTTATTTACTGTAATGCGTGAGCTAAGGATTTCACCTTGATTGTATCTGAGGTGGTCCCTAGTCGAGCAAACATAATGCGTCAATACTTTATCCTCCCACCAATCCCAAGGACCCCTTATCATTTGGTAAAGTGTTGAATACCCTTTGTCCCAGGCCAGTTTCCTGGCTCTTCATGACCCTTTTTATTTTTTTCTGTAGTGTAAAAACGTTAGAAAGACGCACACCTGATGGTTCAGTTCAGTCATCTCTGGGAGAAGGTGTAAGATACTTTTTTTTTTCTTTTCGTGTGTGTGCATTTTGACTTACTTTCAATTTTCGTGTATTGCATCTTAAATTTTCTTGCCCCCTCCTTTATTTCTTTTTCATTCACATTTTTAAAAATTGCTTGGGCTAATTTGGTTAGATTTGCATCTGTATTCCTGAATCTCTCCCTTGCTTCGTGGCTTCGAGGAGGCCCTCATCTCCGGGTGGGAGAGCTCGGCTGGGGCGGGGTGATGTGGGGAGGGGACGGTGACGGGGGTGTGGAGAGGCGGGGGTGATGGAGGAGCGGGCGGGGTGGGGCGGGCCCCGCGCGGGCCCCTCCCCGCACGTGGGCGGAGCCTCCCGCGGGCCTGCGGTGCGCGCGGCCGGCCGGCGTCGGGCTCTGTGCGCAGGCGCGGGTCTCTCCTCGGCGGCGCATCCTGCAGGTCTGGGGCCTGCCCCGGCGCGGTGGCGCGTGGGGCCCTTCGGGGCAGTGGTCAGCGCGGCGGCGGCCGCAGACCCGGCCCGCTCGGGGCGCGCTCCCGCGAGGCCGGGCACCACCGCCGGGGCCGTGTCCACCCGAATCGGGGCGCCCCGGGGGCCGAGCGAGCGCGCAGCAGGTGCGGGACTTGGAGAGGTCACGCTGGCCGTGGGGGCTGCATCCCCGTGACCGCCGAGGGCGGAGACCCGAGGCCTGGTGTCGGGTCCGAGCCGGCCTGGCTCCCTCCGCGGACTCGGCGTGGCGCGCGCTCCTAGGATCCTTGAGACGTCCCTGAAATGTGCGTGCCCGCGGCTCCCCGGCGCGCTTTGAATCCGGGGGTCCTTAAGTTTCCCTCTGTCTCGTAGGACCCCCGCCCGCCCGGCGCTCGCTGTCCGGGGGAGCCTCCGGCCGGGATGGAGACGCCCCGCATCCGCGCTGTCCGAGGGCTCGGGGCGCTCCGCTGTGGCCAGCCCGCCTGTGTCCTCAGCCTCGGGCTCTGCGTTTGTGGAAGTGCGGCCTGAGGGTTCTGTGTGCTCTTAGGCAGATCTGGGGCCCCTGGTGAAGAAGGCTCCAGCTAAAGTGAATTTGCCCCTTGGGCTCCGCTGGAACAGAGCAACTCTACTGAGGCAAGAAGGAGGAGCTTCAGGAACAGGAATCTCACTGGGAAGGACCCCTCCGCCCCCCGCCTCTGACCCGACACCCATCAGAGCTGCAGAAGAGAGGCAGAAGAAACCCAGAAAAGGAGCATTTCGCCCAGAGGGGTCAAGGCTTGAGTGATTTCACGTTTAGAAGCCGTGAGTCTCTTTGCAGAAGAGAGAAGGGAGCTGGGGTTGAGAGTGGTGGCAAGGGACAGACTGCTGGAGCAATGTCACCGCGTTGGCGGGGTGCTGGGGGATTCCACAGCTGGGAAGCTCTTATCTTCAATCGCCACGCCCAGATGGCACCTTCCCTCCATTAATTCTTTCCAGAAGCTGGGCAGCTTTCTGACCATGTCCGGAATCTGGAGATGTGCTTGTCTGTCTTTCCTGATCGGAAGGGGTCAAGAGCAGTGGTTCGAGAGGGTTTGCCAGGGTTATCTGTTTTTGTCTCCTTTGACAGAAGGGGAAGAAGAACCTGGAAGGGCAAATGACTTGTCTAGGATCAATAAGAGGCGACGGGAAGAAGTCAGAGTCTCCCACTCCTGGCTTGGTGCTGTCCACACAGTTGCACTGAAGCATGTTTCCTGCGAAAGATCTTTTTGAGAATCCGATTAGAAAAAAGTTTTTTAAAAGATCTGTGTTTAAGGAACCTCTCTCTTTTCCCAAAGCTTTATGAGGATTCTTGGACTCCTCATAGGGAGTATGGTAACCCTCAAGGGGTTACCATTATTGGTAGTAAAACAGATACACAAAATAGCCTGTAGAGCTTTTTCCCCCTGTAACCTCAGTTTTAATGAAGGCATCGTATTTCATATTTTGAGATGCTATTATTTGCTTAAGAATTCTGTTTTAATGTTTCTGTGTTAGTGCAAGGGGGACATAAATAGTTAAAGCAGTAGGGAACATGGCAGGTTTAAGGGGTCACAAAGGGCTGATGGCACCTTTCTCTCCTTCTCCAGGATCAAAAATGTGTAGAAGTTTTTGGGAATAGAATTGAGCTGCAGGGCTAGCCCGCTCTCATTATTCCATCCCTCTTTCCTCCTCTTCCAGGTGTGCCTTTCCAAGTTTTGATGCTCTTCCAAGAACAATAGAAAATGAACAAATCCCAAGTGAGTTGTTTCTTTTCTTTATTCCCTATTTCGTTTTCCAGGGGGTTTCATGGCTTTTATATGATGCAAAAATGGAAATAGATAAAAAGCTGCTTCCGGAATTAGTGAGTGGGTGGCACCTGGCTAGCAGGCAGAGGTGGCTGTCCTCTGTGTAGGTCCACGGATCCCACAGTCATCACAGGTGAGCAGCACATTTGTCTTTGATCTTCTTGCTCCACACCGGGTTTTCGCTGACCAGAGAGAGAACCCGGCCAGTATTCCTGGGACAGAAAGACTTCCTGGCACCGGAGTCTGGAAAAAATGTCCGTGAAGGTCTTCAGGTGGGGAAGAACCTTGTAGTGACCCCCTGTTGCCTGTAATTGTTCTTTGCTGGAAGCGGAGGGCAGAACTCAGTGAGGTTTTATGAGGGACCAAAGCATCGTGGATTCTGTAGAGAGTTTTCTGAACGTCCGCTTTGATCTAGAGACAAACCTAAGACTGTCTGGAGGAATGAAAGAAATGGACTGCAAGTCCTTAAAATAACCTCTTAAACCGCACGGGTTGGACAGGAAAGAGTTCAAACTCATAGTCTTTGGCAAATGTTTCTGCACTCTCCATTCATCTTTTTTTTTAAATTGTGGTGAGATAACAAAATCTGCCATTGTAACTGCTTTTAAATGTACAATTCGGTGGCATTAATTACATTCCCCATGTTGTGCAACCATCGCCACTATCTGTGTCCAAAACTTTTTCGTCACCCAGATGAAGTGGATTCATACAATCTTTGTCCTTTTGTCTCTGGCTTTTTTCACTTAATATATCGTTTTCAGGGTTCATCCATGTTGTAGCATTTATCAGAACGTCATTCCTTTTAATGGCTGAATAATATTTCATTGTGTGTATGGACCACATTTTGTTTATCCGTTCATCCGTTGATGGACACTTGGGGTTGTTTCCACCTTCTGGCTGTTATAATAGTGCTGCTGTGAGCATTCGGGTACAGATATCTGTTTATCCATTGATATTTTAATCCATGTATGCATTCTCGCTTCTTCCCCACCACCTGCCTAAGTATGTCCTGATAAAGCTCAGTGGTAATGTCCTTACAGTAGGATCCAATAGATATTTTCCAGACCTTCCCTTGCCAGAACATTCTGCTGTGTGTGGCAGTTAACCCACTTTCCCCTTCTCCTAAAAACACCTCTTTCTCTGGTGTTCTGTGACATCATCCTTCTGGCTTTATTCCTACTCTGATTTCTTTGTCTCCCTCATGGCATCTTTCTCGTCTTCTGCCCGTTCTCCTGGCTTATCCTCAAATTTCTATCCTTAGCTCCCTCATCCTGTTACTCTGCCAGTCCTACCTAAGTATTTCACACCCTCTGTGGTGGTAATACCAAGTGTCTTTCTAGCCTGGGCTCTTCCTTCATGAATCATCGTTCTCTGTGCAGATGCTAGGGGCACCTCAGTTTTCAAAATTAAAGTTATTTGCAGTGTCCCCCCGTCTCCCATCTATTCTGGCCCCTCTGTTTCCTATTGGGTGAAGGCCCACACCAAGCGCTTAATGAAACCACCAAAATGGGATTCATCCTAGATGTCCCCTCCCGCACCTCATCCTGTGTGGCCTCTCAGTTTACTACTCTTAAGATGTCAAATTTCTTAAACCTGTTCTTTCTGCTTAATCCCTTCTCCCCTTATCAGAGCTTCATTTTCTCTCCCCTGGGCTGTTGCAACAGCTTCTTGCTTCTTTCTCCCCCAGGTGGAATCTGTCCTCGTCCTGAGTAATTAATCTTAAATGCTATTCAGATGATGCCACTTCAATATAGAAACCACTTGAGTAGCCTCCAGCCACCCATAGGGACAAAGTGTGAAGTTAAGGCTGTTGAGAACATGGCCACTTCCGGTTTCTCTTTGTTTTATTAAAAATTTTTTTATTCTAATAGTCTTTACCTTTTATTCAATAGTGGTTTACTGGGCATGTGTTCAGTGTGCCAGGTGCTGAACTGTGTGCCACAGACTCAGCTCTGAACGATGTGGAGACCTACTCCCTTTTTGATGGAGTTCACAGGTCAGTGGAGAAGGTGACATTTAAAAAGTCAGTATGCAGCATTATTCTTCCGTGATCCCAAACCTGACGTCATTTCCTTAAGACACCTTGTTGCTGCCTGTGTGGGCATTTCACGCATGTTCTGGTCAGATGGACTGACTTTGCACCCCGGCTCTATTTCCTTTTCTGTCTTCTCAGGGGTTAACTTGCGGGGTAGCTCATCCAGGAAGCCCTTCTCCTCTTTCTTTGCCCTCCTCTGATTAATTGCCCTTTTCCTCTACGCTCCCACAGTACCCCGTGCTGTCCCTGTCACTGCACTTTGTCCACTTTGTGGAAATTACCTGTTTGTGTCTGGGTTGACAGTCAGATCATTGGCCCTTCAAAATCCAGATGTACGCCATGTTCATCTTTATTCTTTCAGTTCCTCACGCTGCCTCTCACTCCCAGGAGGTGCTCATCGTGTATTTGTGGCTGACGAGACAAATGGTAGGTTTGATCTAATTTGGGACCCAAAGTGGATAACCATCCTACCTGAACACAGCGCAGGGCCATCTGGGACAACTGGGGCCTCCTTTGCCTTCTCCGAACTCTGACTTGGGTCATGCAAGGTGGACTTTTGTTGTTGTTGCTTTTTTAAGAATTTATTTATTTTTTTTAGAGCAGTTTTAGGTTCACAGCAAGATTGAGTGGAAGGTACAGAGATTCCCCATGTAGTGCCTGCCCGCACACATCCCCCACCAGAGTGGTACATTTGTGTTACCAGTGACGAACCTATATTGGCACATCGTAATCGCCCAAAGCCCGAAGTTTACAGTAGGGTTCACTCTTGGTGGTATACATTCTGTGGGTCTGGACAAATATGGTATCATATCACCATTATAGTATCGTATATTTTCACTATGCTAAAAGTCCTCTGTGCTCACCCATTCATCCCTCCCATCCCCCTCCTGCCTGGCAACCACTGATATTCTATTGTCTCCATGATTTTGCCTTTCGAGAATGTCATATGGTTGGAATCATATAGTACGTAGCCTTTTCAGATTGGCTTTTTTTTCTCTTAGTAGTATGCATTTAAGATTCCTCCATGTCTTTTCATGGCGTGGTAGCTCATTTCATTTTAGCACTGAATAATATTCCACTGTCTGGATGGACCCCAGTTTATTTATCTCTCCACCTACTGAAGGACATCTTGGTAACTTCCAAGTTTGGGCAGTTGGGAATAAAGCTACTGGAAACCTCTGTGTGCAGGTTTTTGTGTGGACATAGGTTTTTAACTCCAAGGAACATGATTGCTGGATCGTTTGGTAAGAGTATGTTTAGTTTTGTAAGAAACCATCAAGCTGTCTTCCAAAGCAGTGCATGAGAGTTCGTCTTGCTCCATGTTTTGGCCAGCATTTGGTGTTGTCAGTGTTCTGGACTTTGGGCATTCTAATAGATGTATAGTGGGATCTCATTTTTTTTTAAAGATTTTATTTTTTCCTTTTTTCTCCCCAAAGCCCCCCAAGACATAGTTGTATATTCTTCGTTATGGGTCCTTCTAGTTGTGGCATGTGGGACGCTCCCTCAGCGTGGTTTGATGAGCAGTGCCATGTCTGCACCCAGGATTTGAACCAATGAAACACTGGGCCGCCTGCAGCAGAGCGCGCGAACTTAACCACTCGGCCACGGGGCCAGCCCCAGTGGGATCTCATTTTAATTTGCATTTCCCTGATGGCATGTAGTGTGGAGCATCTGTTCATATGCTTATTTGCCATCCCTATATCTTCTTTGGTGAAATGTCCCTTAAGGCCTTAGGTTGTTGGTTTTCTTATTGTTGAATTTTAAGAGTTCTTTGTATATTTTAGATAACAGTCTTTTTCAGATATGTCTATGGCAAATATTTTCTCCCAGTCTGTGGCTTGTCTTTTCATTCTCTTGACAGTGTCTTTCATAGAGCAGAATTTTTTAATTTTAATGAAGTCCAGCTTATCAGTTCTTTCTTTCATGAATCATACCTTTGGTGTTGTGTCTAAAAAGTCATTGCCAAACCCAAAGTCATCTAGATTTTCTCTTGTGTTATCTTATAGTTTTTTGTCTTTTGTTTTTTTTTTTTGAGGAAGATTAGCCCTGAGCTAACATCTGCTGCCAATCCTCCTCTTTTTGCTTAGGAAGACTGGCCCTGAGCTCACATCCGTGCCCATCTTCCTCTACTTTATATGTGGGACGCCTGCCACAGCATAGCTTGCCAAGCAGTGCCATGTCCACACCCGGGATCCGAACCGGCGAACCCCAGGCTGCGAGAAGTGGAACGTGAGAACTTAACTGCTGCACCACCAGGCCGGCCCCAATGTTATCTTATAGTTTTATAGTTCTGTGTTTTACATTTAGGTCTGTGATCCATTTTGAGTTAATTAGGTTTTGAGTCAAAGGTCTGTGTCTAGATTAATTTTTTTTTGCATGCGGATGTCTAGTTTCCCAGCACCACTTTTTGAAAAGACTTTCTTTGCTCCATTGTATTGCCTTTGCTCCTTTGTCAAAGATCAGATGACTGTATTTGTGTGGTTCTTTTTCTGGGCTCTCTATTCTGTTCCATTGATCTATTTGTCTGTTCTTTTGCCAATACCACGCCAGCTTGATGACTGTCGCTTTAGAATAAGTCTTGAAGTCAGGGAATATCAGTTCTCCAACTTTGTTCCTTTTCAATATTGTGTGGACTATTCTGACTCATTTGCCTCTGTATATAAACTTTAGAATTAGCTCATTGATATTCACTCAATGACTTGCTGGGATTTTGATTGGGATTACATTGAATCTATAAATCAAGTTGAGAAGAACTGACGTCTTGATGATAAGGAGTCTTCCTATCTACAAACATGGTCTCTCTCTCCATTTATTTAGTTCTTCTTTAATTTCTTTCATCAGGCATTTATAGTTTTCCTCATTTATATCTTGTACATATTTTGTTAGATTTATACCTAAGTATTTCATTTCTTGGTGT